ATTAAAAAGGATGGCACCTCCTTTTTTTTTTTTTTTTTTTTTTAGGAAAAGCGTACAACACATTAAATAAAATGAAATAATTATTATAAAAAATATAAGAAATTATCAGCTTTCGAAAAAAAATGAAGACAAATTATATTATCGGTGCATGGATATGATCTTCACATATTTGAATGCGAGTAGGATTATTATATTCTGATGTAAGTAGGATTAGGATTAGCATCTTCACTTATAAATAAATGCACCCTTCTCTAGATATTGTGCGTGAGCGTTAAATTTTGTGATATTATATTATGCTTTTGCATGTTTTTATTTCTCATATGTGGTGAATTTAGTTCTGATTTCATCACCTAGTTAGGCTTTTTTTTCCCTTTTCAACGTTGATTGATTAAAAGTTATCTAATTTCTAGTTATATATTCACGTTTTAGAATACCGATACAGAGGAAATAAGCTCGAATTATTCTTTCAGTTTTATTGAGAATGATTTTTTCTTGAGGATATTGATCCTTGAACAACCTTTATAATGATTCTAAGGATCAACATGTTCAAGAAAGAGTCATTCTCAACAAACTCAAAGAAGAACTAGAGCTATATCCGGCTTACAGGAGGAGTCAGAAATGAGATATATTTTATTATTTTAAAATCATTACTTTTTCTTTCTTTCTTTTTCCTTTCGGTTTAGTCTCATTACTTCATATTATACGTATTTGTACGTCGTTTAATTATTCTTGAATCTGTTGACACGGTGATTTTAGATTTAGAGAGAAGGAACTGAGGGTTTACGTTGAGAAATAAAATAAAGGGCATGTTTTTTTACTTAATTTAAATCACAATTTAATCTTTTTATTGTAGTATTTTTTTTATAAAAATTTAAATTTAATTTTTTTAATATAGTATTTTTTATAATTTAAATTTTAAAAAAGAACCTACGTAAAATAATTAGAACGCAGAGAGACAATCAGAATCTTAATAAATAAATAAATAAAAGTTAGAATAGTACGACTAAATCAAAAACTTTTCAGGTAATAGGTAAAAAGAAAGAAAACGAATAGAGGAAGAGAGAGTGGGAGAGCGAAAAAATAATTTGGAAAGAAAAAACAAGTAGACAGTGCCACGTTCTTGTAACGTGTGGAAGTCCTGGGTGAAACACGTGGATAAATGTCTACATAAAAGACAAAAAAGATAGAGAAAAAAAAAAAGAAAGCAGACATGATACCTATACGCTTATTGTGGACCGTTTAGTTTGTTAATTTGAATTTTTAATTTGAGTTTAAATATAATTTTATGTGAAAATTTTTTATTATAATAAAAAAATTAAATATGACTATTTGTGAGAACTTTTTACTGTAACAAAACTCAAATTTTAAACTCAAATCAACAAAATGAACGAACTTTTCACTTTTTATACTCGTAAGATTTTAGTATTTTTCTTGACAAGCAGCTTACCACCTTATTTTTCAAAGAAAATATGAGTCTTAGAATCTTAGAGCACGTTTAGTATAAGAGTTCTAAAATTCAAAATTATAATTATGGTTCAAATTAATATTTATTTATAAAAAATAAAAAGTGATTTTGATTTGATTCATATAAAATCAATGTTTAATTTAAATAATTCTGATTCAAAATTTAAACCTTAATGTGGCATTTTAAACTAAAATCACTCCTGATTTTAAAACCACATTCTCCCTTAATTTTAAGTGATTCAAACTCTTAATTTTGATTCTGATTTCAGAACTATGATTTAAACTTAAAATCATAAATTATAGTTATAATTCTAAAATCCAAATTAAAATCACCCATTTGAACCCTCACACTAAAAGAAGCCTTAATTTAATACTGGTTTAAAAAATAAATAAGAGCCCGTTTGGTTAGAGGATTCATTCTCTGATTTGAATCATGATTCATAATTCGTTACAGTATTTTCTCTCACAAAAAACACACGTAAATTGAAAATAGTAGTCATGATTCATAATTCGCTACAGTATTTTTTCTCACAAAAAACACACATAAATAAAAAATGATTCTAAACACATGATTTTAATACATGAACTAAACAAGTTCTAAATCAACTATGTTCATTTAAAAAATCTTATTGTCGTTCATACGAAGGAACGAAATCCACCAGACCACCTCGCTGAGGTTACGGAAGTTTACCGCCTTAAAGTCAAATAAACGACGTTACAGAAACTAGGAAAAAAAACGTACCGTCTTCTTTTTTGCTCGTTTTAGCCAAAACGACACGCAACTTTTTTTTATTTCTCTGGAAAACAACGTTACTTTAAACATGCAAACAATGTTGCAGAACATAGAAAAGTTACGTAATATATGTCAACAGTTAAATATCAATTACAAAATTTCGCATTGTCAACTCGCTAAGATAGACAACCTCGACAAGAAATAGAACCTAGAGTTTCATGAAATGAAAAGAAAGGACAAAGCAGATCGCAAGCATCTCAACCAACTCTTTTGGTGTTCTGTCCATTCTGCTCTGTCGTAGCATTTGTAGTCCATCCCCATCCAAAACAATATGAAAATATATGAAAAGTATCTAGGAATTTCACCGCTTTTTACCAAAATTGCAATCCTCCATGGTATTGATACCACAAAGTGACCTGTAAGAATTGAAATCACCATATTTATATGTTGGAACTAACATTGCGCGTTCTTTTAAGCAAAAAACAAGAGCGAGGAAAAAAAAAAAAGGCAACACATGAGCATCGGCTCCCATATTTAACAATATCAATGCCGACTATAACGACTCAACACTTAACAAGAGTTTTACTAGAACATGCTTGCAATGTAACGATAATAGAGTTCTAAATGTGCCATCTTAGATGGAACATAGTACATGATTCAAGTCATAAACACACCACAAGTGACTAACACAAGAACATGATTTGTATTTTGTGCCTATCAGAAGATATATAGCAAAACACAAAAGCAGGTCTTTTAAGCTCAGTTCCACTGCAAGTAACAATCAAAGAAAGTCATAGGCTTACCTTCGTTTCACCATTCGAATTACAACTCAAACCTTTTGCTACATTTTTTCTCCCACGGAAGTTCAAATTTAACTTTTTATCCCACAATGTTTTCTCTCAAATAAATTTACAATTCAACTAAAGTTCTTAACTCGAACAGGCAAAACAAGGCGAAACAAATGGGGCCATAGTTTGCCCAAACATCAATTGTTATCCTAAACCAAACCCTATTTTAATCCATTACCTAAGCCGCACCAATAGCTTACAAACATAAATAACTTGTGGGACTTCATTTTTTTGGGTAAAAGCTGAGAAGGCACAACAACAATTACTAGAACAAGGACAGTATTCTATATCAACTCCACAATATGTTTCTGGAAACACATGCAAATTTACTCATTGTGAAACAGACAGGAAAAAGAAGAAACGAATATATAAGCATGATAATTCATGAGTTCACAAAAGAATCACCTCCCTACAGCTTTGCCAGAATTGCTGCTGATCTTCAGTGCTTCGCTTTCTTAGGTTTTGACTCGATCTTTCCATATGCCTTAAGTCTCGAGTTCGATATTTTGAGTTCAGCTTGACGTTGCTTTCTCCTGGCTTTCCTAGACAAATTGCTCGCAACACCTGCTGATTCTTCTAATTCTGGTTTCTCATCTCCATTGGCGGCATCTGAAGAAGTCGCCTTGTTTGCATCATCCCTCTTTCTCTTCTTTTTCCCAATCTTATGTTCACTTAGTTTTCCTTGCCGGAGAACTTCTTTGGCCTTCATTTTCATTTCGTATCGCTTGCTATTTGGTACCTTCCACTCATCTTGGTAAGGTGCAATCTTTTTCAGAGACACGTATTGATTCAAGTCATTGTCATCCATCACTAATATCTCAGCAGTACTTAACCCATATCTATTAGGTTTTAATTTGGCATACTTGAACCTTGTTTTCAAATCTCCAATTGCATCCTCGTAGTCCAACTTATAGTATTCTTCTAGCATTGCCTGTTTAGCCTTCTCCAAAATAGCCAACTTACGCTTGCTTTTCCGTTTACCTTCCTCGCTAACTTCTTTTCTTTCTTCTTCTTCTTCATCTTCTTCTTCGTCTTCTTCTCCTCCTTTGTGGTCACCATCAGTCTCCATCTTATGCTTTAAGATTCTTTCTCTTGCAGCTAAGAACCCATCACCGCTCTCGCCACTAGCCCATCCTTTAGGAAGTCCAAGCAACTCATCCTCTTTCTCAAAATCCGGTTTCTCAATCTCACCGTCCTCATCTGCATCGCTACCATACTCCGGATCAGCATCCTCTGCATCATAATACTTGTCCCCAAAAGCTTTCTTCATCATTCGATCATACTCCTCGGGATCAAACTCCTCTTCCAACTCTTTGGCACTCAAGGGAACAATCTCATCCTCTTGAATCCCAGCGCTCTCCATGATTTTCTTAACCCTCTCATCCATTTCCTTCTTCTTCAAATTCTTTAAATGCCTCAACTCCTCCTCCCTCTCCAACCTCGCAATCTCCATCCTCTCCTCCTTGTGCTTCCTCTGCTCCTTTCTTGCCTTCACCTTCTTCCTAACCGTACCCTCTACTTCTCTGGAATGTCCCAAAATTTGATCCCCGGAATTCTCTTGAAACCTATATTCATACTCCTCTTGCTTCTCAATCTCCTTCTCGTCCTCCGACAGCATCTCCAACTCCTCATCACCAACTCCAATGCCACGAGCCCCTTTGTCATCGTGCTTGTCAATCCACATCTTATTCATGAAATACTCCTTCAAAAAATCAGCATTCTCATCTGGTTCCCCGCTACGACTTCCTCCGAAATACTCATCCAATTTCTTATGAAGCTCCTCATCGCTCTCTTCCTCATCTGACTCATCCTTTTCCTTCATCCTCAACAAATCATCTCCATCCTCCTCTTCCTCATTCTCTTCCACCGCCTCAAGAAACGCCTTGCGTATCTCCTCTTGCTCCTCATTGTAAGCCAGATTCTTCCTATTACGTTTTTCATTCTTATCACACAATTCTGGACCTTCTTCAATCAAATGCTTAGCTACCACGTCCTTCAAGTACATCGCCTTCTTCTTCTTCTTTTTCTTCTCCTCCTCGGCATTATTTCCTCCGTCATCATCGGAGTCCGACTCCGAATCGAACAATTTCACATCCTTGCTCTTCAAACTCGGGTCCTGCTTCCTGATCTTGATCAAAGCCTCGAAAAATTCCAAATCCTTCTTCGAATGGACCGAGACATCGCCGTCATCATCGTCCGAAGACGACGATTCTTCCGAATTTTCGTCTCCTTTATCGTCTTCCTCCCCTCGTACTCGCCGAGGTATGAGGCCTCTCTTCTTCAACTCATCGTACCGTTGAAGGTCCTCGCGCTTCTTGTTGTGCTCGTACCTACGAGCGAACTCCTTGTCAATCTCGATCTTCGAGACGTCCTCGTTGTCTGAGTCACTTCCGTCGAAGAGATTTATACCCATTCTTTCTCAAATTACTGAGCTTTAGGAATTTGTTTTGGTTCGCAATCTGAAAATTAGCACCAAACAGTTGAGACTATCTCACTATATCCATCACAAAGAAAATAGATTTATAACGGAACAAAAGCAATATCAAATATCAAACACGAACTCGTCCAAAGTGCAGAATCATTCTTCATCAACCACCAAAAGAAAAAATAATAGAAGAAAAAATAGAACATTCGAGAAAGAAGAGAGAGAACAGAAGATGAAAGAATAAGTACCAAGAAAGAAAAGTGCGCCGGCAGCGGCGCGGCGAAAGGAGGCTGTTGCTAGGGGCTGGCCCGCGTTGAGTCGTGGTCGGTCGGTGTTGTGCTGCAAGAGGAGTGGCTATGGGGGGAACTGGGAGGTCTATATAATTCCGATAGTAGGGTTTCAAGCAAAAAACAAAAAAAAAAAGTGATGATCACGTGCATTTCACATGACAAAAGGGTCTAAAATTTATCGAATTGGAACGCAATTCCAATTGTCCTTGAAAAAAAAAAATTTCAAAAAACCTTCTCAAAAAAATTCTAAAAAACAAAACTTCTTAAAAAAATTAATTCAAAAATATAATTTTTTAATAGGGCTGTAAATTTATAATTGGAGACTTTCTCTAGTAAACCGGTCTCCTGATAAAGTCCGTTTTCTAATCGTTAAATTTAATTAAAATCATATAAAATTAAAAAAATTTATAAATCAATTAGTTTTTAATACAAATTTAATAATTAAAAATAAATAATTATCAGTAGTTTATTTTTTCTAATCCTTTAAAAAAACTCCCAACAAATGAAGACACCATTAACCGAATAAAAAAAATAAAAAAAAAATCACCAATCAATTTTAATGGTAAAGACACCAACTTAAATTTTAACATTTGTGTATTAACTGATGTGATAAGTGAGCTATCATTTTTACATTAATTTTTTATTTAAACATTATCGCATCAATTAATTATTAAAAATTATATATACCGATAAAAAATCATTTCACATGCTACGTTGATACATAAAAATTAAACTTTGAGTTAATGTCTCTCACATTACTTTTTTTAGGGGACGTACAAACATGTTAACATGATGTAATAACACTAGAAAAAAGACCGTTAATAGTATAATTCAAAAAAAAATTTGATTTTTCTAGAAAATAATATTGCAATTAAAAAAACAAAGCATCCATTAACCAATAAAAGGAAAAAAAAAATCACCACGTCAATTTTATTTTGTTAAACAAACCTTTTTTCCACTATGTAAGTCTTAGGTCTTTCTGTCTAACTCTAAAGTCGCCCAATTTTATCATAAAAACCAAATTCAAAATTATTTTTTCTTTTTTAAAAATATGGACTAATTAAAAAATAAAGCAGCTAGTCATTAACCGAAAAAAAGAAATCACTATGTCATTTTTTTTTATTTGGTTATATCGTACCTTATCTCTCCACGTAAGTCCTAGGTTCATCTCTTCAAATCTAAATTACCATGTGAACAGATTTAAGAACAACCAAACCGCCTATAAATATACTGTATTTTTTTTTAACAGCAAATGTGTTGTATAATATGAAGTAATGAGACTAAACCGAAAAAAAAAAGTAATGATATTAAAATAAGTGGAAAGAGATCAATACTTCTTAGATACACCACTCTAGATTTTTACTCTTTACTTTTGATTAATATTCTTTTTAGTCAAATAACTATATATTTGTCAAAAGAGTATCAACAAAAAATAAAGAATAAAAATCTAAATTCATTCACTTTAAGAATAAGTTTAATAATTTTTTCCCAAATATAACAAAATATATCTTATCTCCAACTCCTGTAGCCCAAAATTATAAAAGCATGCAAAAGAAAATAGTATCACAAAATTAAACGCTCACACACAATATTGAGAGAAAGGCTCATTTATTTATAGGCACAAGGCATGTGTCACCAGATTAGTTAATCTTAGGAATCCTAATCCTACTCACATCAAAATATATTGATCCAACTCGTATTCAAATATGTGAAGATAGTTTCCATGCACCGTAATTTCTCCTCTTTTTTTTCCGAAAGCTAATAATTTCTTATATTTTTAATAATAATAAATTTCTTTTAGAGATAAATATTTTAAGGTGTTGTATGCTTTTCAAAAAAAAAAAAATTTTGCCTCCCACTTTATTCTTAAAATGCGTTGTCATTTTCTCTCAAAAAATAAAAGAAAAATAATATTGAATCATTCTATTCATTTATTGAAATAATTATTATAAAAAATATAAGAAATTATCAGCTTTCGAAAAAAAAGGAAGATAAATTATCGGTACATGGAGATAATCTTTACATATTTGAATACGAGTAGGATTATTATATTATGATGTAAGTAGGATTAGGATTAGCATCTTCACCTATAAATAAGTGCACCCTTCTCTCGATATTGTGTGTGAGCGTTAAGTTTTGTGATATTATTTTCTGCTTTTGCATGTTTTTTTTTTTTTCTCATATGTGGTGAATTTAGTTTCCGATTTCATGACCTAGTTAGGCTTTTTTTTCCTCCTTTTCAACGTTGATTGATTGAAAGTTGTCTAATTTTTAATTATATATTCACATCTTAGAATACCAACACAAAGAAAATAAGCTCAAATTATTCTTTCAGTTTTATTGAGAATGGTTTTTTCTTGAGGATATTGATCCTTGAACAACCTTTATAATGATTCTAAGGATCAACATGTTCAAGAAAGAGTCCTTCTCAACAAACTCAAAGAATAACTACAGCTATATCCGGCTTACGGGAGGAGGCAGAGACGAGATAAGTCATTATTTTTTTTTCTTTCTTTTTCTTTTCAGTTTAGTCTCATTACTTCATATTATACGTATTTGTAAGTCATTTGGTTATTCTTGAATCTGTTGACATGGTGATTCTAGATTTGGAGAGAAGGAACTGAGGGCTTACGTGGAGAAATAAAGTATATTTTGTTGGAGATACGCCACATGTGAAATTAGCCCAACACACTTTAAGAGTCTAACTTGACCTAAAATGTTAACCTATCAGATCTTGGGTCATCCTATATATATAAACCACTTCACATTTTCATTCACTTTCTATGTGGGACAACACACACATGCATTTTTCTCAACACATTTTAATTGTGTTATGACCTGTTTGCCAACATAATTTATTTTTATACCTCTATTTAATATGCAATAATTGTTATTTACGGCATCATGCAAGCTCCATCAAGAGACTATCGTACCAATCTCCATTAAATAATAACCTTATGAAACAATACATTTAAGACCTTAGGTGTAGTTGGAGGGTCGCTCCCTTAACTCTCTATTAAGACTCACAAAATGAAATAATCATAATTGGAAGCTCCATATTTGTCATCCATAATATCTGATTGCACTGTGAGACTGCAATTTCGTTTACATCCTAGTATTTTGTAAAGAGAAAATTAATACTCACTCTTTAAATGCATTGTTCTAAGATTTTATTTATTTACTATTGATTAATATATTTTTGACTAATATAATTCTTTAACTAAAGAATATTAATTAAGTGTAAATGATAAAAATTCAAGGCTTATGCATTTTAAGGATTTTTCCCTCCTTTTTTTCATTTGTAAACTCTAATGTTGTTTACATCCTAGTATTTATCTTGGGCCTGTGGAAAACACATGATTCCTCATTAGAGTTTAGGACAAATTTTCTAAATTTTTCATGAACTTTGTCACTAAAGTCAACATGCATCTTGAATTTTAAAATGTACATATTGTGCCTTCTGAGCGTTGTCACTTGTGTCAACATGCCTCCTGAGATTAACTCCGTTAAGTTTTTTAACGGAAATGCTTATAAATGCCCTATGAACTTTGTCACTCGTGTCAATATGCTCTCTAAACTTTAAAATATACACGTTTTGCCCTCGAACTATGATGTCTCCAATTTTTCTCCCTCCATATTGATTCTATCAATTTTTTAAACGAAAATATTGATATGACCATTAAATTGTTAATTATCTATGATATTTGAGATTTATTGAATATCTTCTCCTCTAAAAATATTGGCTAAACACCAATTTTCAAAACATTAGTTGATTAGAGACAATAAAAAGGGAAAAAATGAGGAGCAAATTTGCATAATGTAATGAATTTTGTTAATTTTTTTTCTTAATATTTCACCTAGATAAAAGTGCTTGACGTAAAACACGTTTATGCTTTATACATATATAACATTTTTAAATCTAAATACGTTTACCTTTTAAAAAAAATCAACACAAACCTTAAGAAACTCATTAACTTAACAGACTTAGATGGTCAAATATCAAAGATAAATTAATAATTTAATTGTCGTATCAATATTTTCGTTTAAAAAACTGATAGAATCAAGATGGAGTGAGAAAAGTTAGAGACATGTCATAGTTTAAAAAGTAAAACTGGTATATTTTAAAGTTTATGGAGCATATTGACATAAGTGACAAAATTAAAGGGGTGTTTATAAGCAATTCTGTTAAAAAATTTAACAGAGTTAACTTTATGGGGTATATATATTTTTTCTTTTCTTTTTTCTGAATTTTCTAGAAAATAATATTGCAATTAAAAAAATAAAGCATCCATTAGCCAAAGAAAGAAAAAAAAATCACCACGTCAATCTTATTTTGTTAAACGAATCTTTTTTGACCATGTAAGTCCTTCTGTCTAAATTTAAAGTCGCCCAATTTTATCATAATAAACAAATTCAAAATTTTTTTCTTTTTTTTTTAAAATATGGGCTAATTAAAAAATAAAGCAACTAGTCATTAACCGAAAAAAAGAAATCACTACGTAATTTTTTTTTATTTGGTTATATCGTACCTTATCTGTCCACGTAAGTCCTAGGTTCATATCTTCAAATCTAAATTACCATGTGAATAGGTTTAAGAACAACCAAACCGCCTACAAATATGTTGTATTTTTTTTTTAACAGCAAATATGTTGCAAAATATGAAGTAATGAGACTAAACCGAAAAAAAAAAAAAAGTAATGATATTAAAATAAGTGGAAAGGGATAAATACTTCTTAGATACACCACTATAAATTTTTACTCTTTACTTTTGATTGATATTCTTTTTAGTCAAATAACTATATATTTGTCAAAAGAGTATCAACCAAAAATAAAGGATAAAAATCTAAATTCATTCACTCTAAGGATAAGTTTAATAATTTTCTCCCAAAATATAACAAAATATAACTTATCTCCAACTCCTGTAGCCCAAAATTATAAAATCATGCAAAAGAAAATAGTATCACAAAATTAAACGCTCACACACAATATTGAGAGAAAGGCTCATTTATTTATAGGCACAAGGCATGTGTCACCAGATTAGTTAATCTTAGGAATCCTAATCCTA